TATAAAAAAAAATTATCTGCAAAAACATAATTGATCAAAATACCCCCAAAACTTTACAAGGGTATTTTGGTCAATTTTTTCATGTAAAATATTTTTTTAAATATTTTTCGAATATTCATCTAGTTTTTATGAACACACGCCTAAAATTTCAATTGATTTGGAGTTTTAGAAAAAAAATTAAAATTCAAACACTATCGGACATCCGTGATCGTTAGATCAGCCTAGATTCCTTTGATGTATTTTCATCTTGCATAATATTGTATGTCTGATCCTGGTTAATGAAATTTAAACTGACAATAATAGCGACTATTACCCCCAAGACAATTACTTGGAATGAAATCAGGTTCCTTGATAGGTGGAACCTGCAAAATGAGGTTCAACTTAGACCTCTAGAAAATAAGGAGGTTGAATGAATAATTGAAAAAGAAAATGGAGTTTGAAATCTAGTTTACACCAATATGGAGAGTTAGGATAAATATAGCAGATGGTCATGCTAGGCGTCCCCCTAGGACTTAATGCTCTTCTGTCCCTTAGAGTGAGCATCAAAAGGATGAAAGAGTTATTCTAAAAGGACTGCGGCATACACATGGATTGGTCCAGCGACCTTATTATAGGGTCGAAACTCCTGGATTTTCGAGAAACCATAAAGAACCAGGAAATCCAACTAGTTCTACTTTTTCGGATATGGTATTTGATCTTAATGTTCTTTTTAAAGAAGAAAAAATTTAAATGGATAAAGTTGCTCTAAAAATAGACTTTTACTCTGAAGAAAATAGGGAAATAAGAAAATGGTACCAAAATGAGTTTAAAGAAAACCTCAGAATCAAATTCTATGAAAAATATATAAAATTTCTAAAAGAAAATGAATGAACATAAAATTCTTTAAATGGTTAGAATATTTCTTAAAGAAACAAGGAATTCGGTTTCCTAATTTCAAAAAAGAATTGAACATGGTGAGAAACGAATTCCAAGTCTTTACTACAAAAAACGGGAAAGAAATTCAATCTGTCCATCCTCCTGAGGTACCTCTGGATATTAAAGAGGTTAAAGCCATACCCTATAAACTTGAACCCAAAAGGTTAATTCTCACAGCAACGGTAGAGAGTATAAATCATGTTATTGAACAAAATAATTATACAAATTTATATTTGAAAAGCCTAAGTGAACAAGTATCTAGGATAGAACTCATGGTTAGTAAAGAAGATCTCAAAAAAGAAAATCCTGAAAATCCAGAAGGGAAACTAGATAAGCATGAAGTCAAGAAGAAGGAGAAGGAACTTATCATGTTGAAGCCTCCTTCTGAACTTCCAAATAAAACCTTTAAACTTAATCTAGTTACTAGTGAATTCCTAGACCAACTCACTGCTAAATTATGTCAATTAGACATTAAAAAAGAAGATCCTTAAGGTTCAGGTTAGGCCTTGACTCTTCAAGACATGATAGAGGATTACTGAAAAGAAGAATTCGCTAGAATAGAAAATGGATTTAATCCAAATTTAGAATTAAACAGAATTACTTATGGAACTAAGAGTTCCTATTGCCCCCACGAAGATGTATTACCCTCGACCATCACCAGTGGACCTTCAGTATGAAGAAGAAGTAATAGGAGGGGGTGAATATAGTGGTAGATCTATAGTTGAATGGAACATTGATGGAATATTTTGAACATCAAATTCTAAATTTGATGAAACATATGACTATGTATGCCACTACATTTAAAAATAATGGTAATAGAGACCCAGATACTGCCAAAGCTATTATTTGTCAATTTACTGGCCCGCTTAAGGGTTGGTGGGCTCTTGATGAACAAACTAGAAACCAATTACTAACTCTGCTAAAAAGCAGTGGGTAGTCTTTCCCCAGGATACCGCAGAAGTTAAACAAGAAACCTGGTGAATGAGGATGATGCTGTAAATACTCGCTTTACACCATTACTTTACCTTACAACTACAAAAATTGAAGGATTTATTATTGAACCTTAGATGTCTCTCTCTCTCCCATTACAAATGGTATAATGATGTTTTCTGGTCAAGATTGTTAATTAGAGAAGATGAAATGCAAATTACTGGACGGAGGAGTTTGTATCACGACTCCCTAATTTGTTCTTTGAAAAGGTTAAGACCAGGTTGAGAAATAAGCATGATGAGGTAATACCATGGGAACAAATTTTATTTGAAATCTGTGCAGAAGGGTTAGCCCTATGCACTAACATTAGGCATGAACTAAATGAAGTGCGCAATGAACTTATAGCTCAAAAATATAGAGTTAATAATCTTGAATTATCAAATGACTTTTCTAATCAAGGGGAACAAGAACAAGAATATCAAGAAAGTGAAAAATATTTTGAAGGGTTAATGGAAGAATACTAGGCCGATCTTCCTGAAGATAACCCTCAAAATGATAACCATCAGCTTCAGGCCTCTAAACAAATTATGGGACAAATCTCTGGATTAAATCCAGAAATAAAAGCTAAAAATGTGAATACAATAACAAAAGAAAAACTAATAGATCTAAAATACATAAATATGGTTGATAAAATAATAACCCAAAAATGGTATGCTCTAATTACTGTAGTAGTAAGTAAAGAGTATAGTTTTCAGACTATAGCCCTTATTGACTCTGGAGCTGATTTAAATTGTATCAATGAAAGGACTCGTATCCACAATATTTTGACAAAACAACTTACGTCCTCAATACTGCAGATGGAAGTAGAATGATAATCAAATATAAATTATCAGAAGCTGCTATATGTAATAATGGAACTTGTTTTATTTTGCCTTCTATCATGGTTAAAAATTTGAGCCAACCTGTTATATTTGGTTCCCCAGTACTTAACATGCTTTATGCTATAATAAAATTGGATGAATCAGGACCTGAATCAGAAATCGAAGGCCACAAGGTTAAGTTTGAATTAATAGAAAAACCTAGACTCCAATAAATCAATCAGATAAAAGACAAAATAAAAATAAGGAGAAATTCCTATTATATCTGAAAGAAGAGATAAGATATAGGACAATTAATGAGAAAATAAAAAATCGCAAAATTCTAAAAGAAATAAAAGATTTCCAAGACAAGATTGAAAAAGAAATATGTGTAGATATACCTAATGCGTTATGGGATAGAAAGCAGCATGTGGTGGAATTACCCTATGAACCAGATTTTAATGAAAGACTTATTCTCACTAAGTCTAGACCCACACAAATGAATAACAAGTTATCAGAAATTTGTAAAAAGGAAATCGAAGAACTCCTGGATAAAGGCTTGATTAAACCAAGTTATTCTCCTTGGAGCTGCCCAGCTTTCTATGTGGAAAAAGTTGCAGAATTGGAAAGAGGTGTACCTAGGCTAGTAACAAACGACAAGCCTCTCAACAAAGCCTTTAGGTAGATAAGATACCTACTTAATCGGCTGCATAATGCTATTATCTTTCACAATTTGATATGAAATCTGGTTATTGCCAAATCCAGGTTGCAAAAAAGGATAAGTACAAGACGGCTTTTATAGTTCCTTTCGGACATTACGAATGGAATGTGATGCTTTTTGGGCTTAAAAATACCCCATCTGAATTTCAAAATATCTTGAATAATATATTTAATCCTTATACAAGCTTTGCTATTGTATACATTGATGATGTTCTTATTTTTTCAGAATCTTTAGAACAATATTGGAAGCATTTAAACATCTTTTTGAAAAGCGTCAAGATGGCTGGATTAGTTGTGTCTGCTAAAATGATAAAACGATTCCAAACCCAAGTTTGATTTCTTGGGCATAATATCCATAAGGGAACAATTACCGAATCGAAAGGGCAATACAATTCGCAGACAAATTTCTGGACGAAATTTTGGGGAGGATTTGAGATAAGATTAGGATGTTTATTCTCTTTATTTATAAAATTTGAAATCAAGAGAATCTAGCCAAATCATACCTTCAATTGTACCGCACTCACCAAATGTATCTCCCTCCAAACCTCTCGATCCTCTCTTTATAAAGTATGAGGTATGAACACCCTAATCTTCTCTCTCCTGCTCTTTCCTCTCTATCAAAGCATCCCCATATAATAACCCTAATCCTTTCTATCTCTATAAATAAAAGGAATAAACATTCTAATCTTATCTCAAATCGTCCCCAAATAATCACCATGTAATTCTCTCTCTCTCTCTCTCTTTCAAATCTTCATTCTTTCCACATCTCTCTCTATCTAAAACCCTATTCCTCGAATCGTCCCCAAAAGCTATCTCTGAAAACCCTAATATATTTGTCTCTCTCTATAACCCCCTAAATCTCAAATTCTCATTCTTAGCTCCTCGGTATCGAACGTTTTGGTACACAGTTTTTTTCCCCCCCTATTTCCTAAAAAAGTAATTGTATTGAAAACCTTATATTTGTGCTATTTTCTTGGTGAAATGATGGGAATTGTATCTTCTTTTTTTTTTGTGAAAGAAAGTGGAATTATATACATTTATATGTTATAGTCGTAAAATAAAGAGGAGGTTTGATGGTTCTGTAATTTTTTTGCATATTTTCTTAAAGTTTATTTTGTTAAAAAGTGTACCTGTTTCATCTTTGGGCTACTTAATAGGGCCGATCGGCTTCAACTAAATCAATAACGACGGGCCATGCCTCGAAATTATGCTTAGATCCGGTCTGAGCCTCGAAATTATTCTTAGGGCCCGGCCATGGCCATGTTTCGGGCCATATTTATCTTTACATTCTCTCTATCACTTTACTTTGGATATGTTTCGGTGCCTTTTTTGAGAAATATGTTTGTATATTTGTTCAGTCTGAGAAGGGTACTAGATGTCTAGAGAAGAGGAAGAAAATGCTGCAGAGCTCAAGATATGAGAAGGTTTGTCTTGCTTTTCTTTTACCTTTATATTCTCTCTCTTTTTTTTTAATAATCTTCCTCTTCTTAGTATTTCTTGTTGTTATCTTTAGCTCTTGCTTTTCTTTTTCTTTTCGTTATATGTTCGTGTATTTATTGTCCTAGGGATACTTTCCAACTGATTAGGCTTCATGCCATGCGGTTGTCTTAGAGAACTCTTTAAATTGGAAAGTTCTTTTGAGCAGAAAATGCATGCTTTAGGGTATCGCATGACTTGTATCTCCATTTCAAGTTTAAAATCGGGTTGATTGATTAGGTGCTGAAGCTGATGAAAAAAATTGTCAGGTTCCAATTTCGTAGTTAGGTTCCTCTTCTTATTTAGAACTCAGTATATCTATGTCAAAAACATTAGTGTGCCATTCTTGTTGGAAAATGGTCTATCAAGGCCTAAATTCCAGTAGTCTCTCATTCAGTGTAAGTGATTGAGAGATTGAAATCTTGGTGCCTTATGAAATGGAGCCCAAATTCTTAACCCGAGTATGCATGAGGCATCGAGAGTTCACGTGTTGAGAAAATAATTTCTCAAGTAGATGTGAGGGTCACCTCCTAGTCAGGATTTTATAGGTGAACCTCATGTTTAGCTACGATTGGCCTGGGCTTGGAGAATCCAAACGAGAAAAATAGAACCTGAGTACTTATTGAGTATTCGCCTTGTATGTATGTAATGGTCAAGACTTATGAGACATAAGTCCGTATCCTGACACGAGACCGTTACATGACATGTGTATTTTCGTTTTGTACGGGAAGCCACTCTTCCAAATGCATTATTCGAGTTTGGAAGAGCCAGTGCACATGTGCTTTGAGAGGACATCTTTAATTGAGTTAGATCATGTCCCACAGGGGTACACCTGTAATCCATTGAGAGCCTGATGATCGGAAGTTCTGGTACAACGGTTTTGATATGGCTAATTATGTGTCCCTGCTTTAGACTGTGGAACATAGGTCTATTGGGTCGATCTGAGACTCGGTGAAACATCATTCAGGACTAGCCCAATGGAGTACTCCGATACCTACAGTTATTAGCCTAAGATCTCACTATACCTTTTTGTCCGATTTTATAAGGATGAGAAAAACTTAATAATTGCTCGAAAATACTTTTAAGTATTTTTTGTGAATTTTAGATAATTTTTTGAAATTTTATTTGCTAAAATAATGAGGTTTTTCGAATTGTTTCACTCAAATTCCATTTTAGTTCTGACCTGGTCGTGCCATGTGGCATCCCAGTGGCCATAGGGCTGCCACGTGGCACCCCACACCTCACTTTAGGATCACCGCCCAGCTGGGCGTTGATTCCTAGGTGGGGGGACGGATTAGCATTTGGTTGCTTGTTTTATAAGGGGTTGTGCTATGGTGTCTTTGTTATATATTGTGATATTTGTTATATAGTGTTATAACTTAAGGCCTCTTTTTATCACGTCTTAATTAACTCACACATGGGCCATGCATGGAGTTTAATTAATTAATTTATTTGATATTAAAGAGAAAATGGATTTTCAAATTTGAGTTGAAAAATATCTTCAAATTTGAGCTGATCCCTAGGCGCGGGGGACCAGATTGGCATTTGGATGTTTGTTGTATAAGGGGTTGTGTTATGGTGTCTTGTTATATTTTGTTATATAGTGTTATAACTTAAGGCCCCTTTTTATCACGTCTTAATTAACTCACACATAAGCCATGCATGACATGTGTGAAGTTTAATTAATTAATTTATTTAATATTAAAGAGAAAATGGATTTTCAAATTTGAGTTGAAAAATATCTTCACACACATGTGTGAAGGGGACATTATATTTAAATTGATTGGTTTGAAATTTTAAATCTAAAAAGTTATTGGCTTTGATAAAGTAGAATATCTTCACATGTGTGAGCTTTGCCAAATACTTCTTTGCTTTTTACCGTTGGTGCTTATCTACTTTAATATATTATTAAAAAAACTTAGCGTGTCATTGTAAGGAAATATTGGATGCAATTGGAATAACAACATGGGTCAATGACAAAATCGTAAAGTGGCATTACTTAGGGTTAGGGTGTGTGATAATGGTGTAAAATTCCATCCCTTCATCCTAATGGTTGGATGGGCATGGGCGGCTAGGTACATTAGCATCTCATGTGCTTTTGGATTAGTGTATCAAGGGTGTTGACTGAGTCCAAGGTTGCACCCATGTTATAAAAGCACATCATGAGATCTCAAATCCTTACTATCTCAACTCTTAAACCATTTTGGAAAATTTGTGCCCCCTCCCTTTTTCTAGAGCTTTGTGAGAGAAAATTGAAGAGAGAGAGACCCCACGTTCTTTTAAAAGGCTTTTAGAGTTCCATGGATGGTGATCTTGATGGTGGTCCTCCTTTTTATGCTTAAGTCTATAATGTATATTTATCAAGGTAAACTCCATTGAATTTTTTTCTCATAAGTTCATATTCTTGGCATTTATAGTTGTTGGAGTTTTGAATTTACAAAAGTTTCATTGATCTTAGAATTCCCATTTAATCATCTTTTTCATCATATTTATTCATAGTGTGGTTCTTTATGAGTTATAACTTATATGCATGAGAATCCATGATCATGCATAGTATCCATCAACTACTTTAGTTTCAGTGTGTCACTGAATTTCCAAGAGTTTTTCATCACGTTTTTTTATAGTGGATACAATGACTAGAGAAAATTTTTAAGCCGAAAAAACAAGGCAAAATGCACACCGTCAATAAGCCACTTGGTTAAAACATGCTAAAGTGAATAAGTTACAGTCCTTTAAATAACAATTGCAACCATTTCTAGCCTTGTAAAACTACTGTAAGTAAATTCAAATACCAACCCGTTATGGGGCAGTTACATATAAAGCAAGACTAGCTTATGAATTACACTTTCATAACACAAATTACATAAACTATGTCCCAAAGCTTAAATACAACATATAACTAATCTAAACAAAATTCTAAGGAATAAAATCAGCTAAATAAAGAATTAGAATGCAAAATTAAAATCGGGAAGCCATGTTTCGAACCCCTTATGCAGGGGCCACGCAATCGGGCTAAGGATTTAATTTTATCCCTTCGGATTGCACAAAGATGGTTCAATCTCACAAGAGTGTCTAATCCAAATGGGAAGCAATTACACTCTTAAAATTACTTCTTAATATCTCAACACACAGGCATTATCATCCAAACAGAATGCAAAAGGATTGAATCGAATCGGATAAAGAATAAGAGAGTTATGGCCAAACTACACACGGTGGTCCCTCGGACCACAAAAACAGTCTTGTATGAAAAGATTATAAACCCCCATAGGTAAAAACGTGATGAAAAATTTCTAAAAATTCAGTGACACATTGAGATTAAAGTAGTTGATGGATTTGATGCACAGTAATCAATGGATACTATGCATGATCATTGATTATCATGCATATAAGCTATAGCTCATGAAGGACCACACTATGAATAAACATGATAAAAGTGATGATCAAATGGGAATTCTTAGATCAATGGAACTTTTGTAAATTCAAAACTCCAGCAACTATAGATGCCAAGAATATGAACTTATGAGAAAACAATTTAATGGAGTTTACCTTAATAAATGTACACTATGGATTTAAGCATAAGAAAGGAGTACAACCATCAAGATCACCATCAATGGAACTCTAAAAGGCTTTTAAAAAAAAAACGTGGGGTTTCTCTCTTTGCAATTTTCTCTCACAAAGCTTTAGAAAAAGAGGGGAGGGGGGGGGGGCGCAAAAATTTTTCGAAATGGTTCAAGAGTTGAGATAATTAGGGTTTGAGATCTCTTGATGTGCTTTTATAGCATGGGTGTAACCTTGGACTCAATCAACACCCTTGATGCACTAATCCAAAGGCACATGAGAGGCTATGTACCTAACCACTCTAACTATTAGGATGAATGGATGGGATTTCAAACCATTATCACTCACCCTAACCCTAAGTTATGCCACTTTACCATTTTGTCATTGACTCATGTTTTTATTCCAATTGCATCCAATATGCCCTTATAAAAACACCTTTAGTTTTTTTTAATAATGTATAGAGTAGATAACCACCAAGGGTAAAGGGCAAAGAAGTAATTGGCAAAGTTCACACATGTGAAGATATTCTACTTTATCAAAGCCAATCACTTTGTAGATCTAAAATTTCAAAACAATCAATTTAAAGATAATGTCCCCTTCACACATGTGTGTGAAGATATTTTTTAACTCAAATTTGAAAGTCCATTTTCTCTTTAATGTAAAATAAATAAATTAATTAAACTTCACGTGTGCTATGCATGACCCATGTGTGAGTTAATTAAGACGTGATAGAAAGGGGCTTAAGTTATAACACTATATAACAAAATTTAACAATATATAACAAGACACCATAACACAACCCCTTATAAAACATGCAACCAAATGCCAATTTGGTCCCCCTCCCACCTAGGGATCAGCGCCCAGTTGGGTGGTGATCCTAGAGTGAGGTGTGAGGTGCCACATGGCAGCCCTATGGCCACTTGGACGCCATATGGCAATACCAAGTTAGGATTAAAGTGGAATTTGAGTAAAACAATTCGAAAAGCCTCATTTTTTTAGCAAAATAAAATTCCAAAAAATTCTCTAAAATTCACAATAAATATTTAATGTATTTTCAAGCAATTATTAGGTTTTTTTCATCATTATAAAATCAGACAAAAAGGTATAGTGAGATCTCATGGTAATAACTGTAGGCATTGGAGTACTCCATTGGGCTAGATGTTTCGTTGAGTCTCAGAACGACCCAATAGACCGATGTTCTACAGTCTAAAGCAGGGACACATAATTGGCCATATCAAAGCCGCTGAGCCAAAACTTCCGATCATCTGACTCTCTATGGATTACAAGTGTACCCCTGTGGGACATGATTTAACTCAATTACATGGGTCCTCTCAAAGCACATGTGCACTGGCTCTTCCAAATTCAGATAATGCATTTGGAAGAGTGGCTTCCCGTACGAAATAAAAATGCACATGCCATATAATGGTCTCGTATCAAGATACGGACTTATGTCCCATAAGTCTTGACCATTCTATACAAGGCGAATACTCAATAAGTACTCGGGTTCTATTTTTCTTGTTAAGATTCTCCAAGCCCTGGTCGATCGTAGTTAAATATGAGGCTAACCTATAAAATCCTAACTTGGAGGGGTGACTCTCACACCTCCTTGAGAAATTGCTTTCTCAACATGTGAATGCTTGATGCCTCATGCGTACTCGGGGTAAAAGAATCTGGGCTCCATTGCGCAAGGCGCCAAGATTTCAATCATTGTCATTGAATGAGAGATTACTGGAATTTAGGCCATATTTCCAACAGTTTTTACCTATGGGGGTTCATAAACTTTTCATACAAGACTGTTTTGGTAGTCCGAGAGACCACCGTGTGTAGTTTGGCCATAACTGTTTTGTTCTTTATCAGATTCGATTCAATCCTTTTGCATTCTGGTTTGGATGATAATGCCAGTGTGTTGAGATATTAAGAAGTGATTTTAAGGTGTGTAATTGCTTTCCATTTGGATTAACCCCTCTTGTGAGATTGAACCACTTTTGTACAATCTCAAGGGACAAAATTAAGTCCTTATAAGGTCCGATTGCGTG